CCTCCAATCTGGAAAGAAATGGGGAGAAATGATTCTGGAGAGAAGCCATACAAGTCTTGTAGTGGGTAGGCTTGTTTTAGTCCTAGTCCAGACATGGTAGGAGAGTACCTATGTTGGCAATAGATGAAAGAAACAGTGCCAAACGTTGCAGACCTAATGAGGACAGGGTAAGGTTACAAGTTACTGGTCCTTGCTGTGGAGTTCCTGTGTTCTGACCTCTGGGGTAGAAGTTGGAAAATGGATGGACTGTCACTGTCTTAACAGGCAGATAATGACTGGTTCAGCAGTAAAAGTTGGACATTGTGCCACAAAGGGGAATCCGCCTTGTTGGACAGGCCACTCCTTCCCAGTAGAGTCGTGCTTTGGAAAGCAGTGTCTGTGTGCACAAACACACAGGGAGACACACACTTAGCCTGAACGTTGTCTGATGAGAAGTTAGTGGGTCACTGTCTTGTACAGCGGGGGGGGGGGGGCAGTGTTTGAATAGGCAGGCAGACTGTACTGCCCAAGTTGATCGACTCAAAAACCAGAAAGCTGTGTTTTAGTGTGTGTGGTTTCGAGAGGACCAAAAAAGCCAGGTCTCTGAAAGCATTGCATTGTGTTGTGCTCTGTTGGTGAGAACCCCTGTGAAGGAAAACATTCTATACTAGACCTTTCCTTTAAATAAAATTGAGCAAAAAAGCTGTAAAAATGCAATTTGATCTGTTTATTTCATTCCTTGAAAGCTCTACACTTAAGTAAAAGTCTGGGCTAACACTATCTAAACTTAAACCTGCTCCGATCCCCATTCTAAGCCCTATACTAATTATCCTGGAAAGGAAAGGGAAGAGGAGGGACAGCAGAGAATGGATGCCTCATGATAATTCTATGTGTAAGGGAATTCCTGTACGGAGACTGGCACATAGAAATGCGCATGCGCGCATAGAAATGAGCACGGGTGCATTGCTAATAGAAATGAGCATAGGCTCACGCATGCGTGCACACGGGAGCACGCACACGGGAGCGTGTCCACAGTTTCTGGTGCCAGACGGACTATCTAAATGAGGCTCTTACTCTCTGTTAGTGCTGACTGGTCTTCAGCTAATTCCCCATGTCCTGCTGTATCCTGTGTGTATCCGTTACCAACCTGGCTTGCCATTGACCTGCTCTTGGATTCCGTTTATGCTTCTGCTCATTGGTTTCTAATCCTGGCTTCCTCCTGATCTTGTCCCTGTCTGATGTTCCAATACCTCATTGCCTGCTCATTGCTGACCCTGGCTATTACTCTGACTACTCTTCCGGCTCCAGTTTGGCTCTACAGTCCTGCCAAGTGCTTGTCCTGGCTATCCATTATATCATCTCCGATTGTCATGGTGTGTTCTAGCCTCACACTTATCAGAAGTTCCGCCACATATCCAGATCTTGCAGTTCAAGTGGAGTGCCTCCTTAACCTCAGGTGGCTGTTCCGGGATCTGCTCTGTTCCTGACTGGATGCCCTGCTTGATTCACCGAGGCTACACCACCAGCCGCAAGTTCTACAATCAATACCCACAGACACTTGTGTTTCTCCTGTCCCTCGGCACCATCTGTTCCACCTTCAGTGGGGCCTGGATTGGAGATACAAGAGATGGTGACCTTGTCAATTCAGACTTCTATCAGGTACGTGACACTATGGGTGTCATCAACACCCAGGCATTGCAGTTGTGGTCACTGCTTTCTCCTCTTCACTGAAGCTGGCTGCTGTGGATATCTTGTGACCATACTGGAGCACCCTTAGAATAGGTAAAGACATTTTTCCTTTACAGGATGGTTAGTATAGGGCTTAAAAAGAGGGTGGGAGCAGGTTTAAGCCTAGATAGTATTAGCCTGGACTTCCACTTTATAGTTAAATGCCCAATATACTGTATATGTGTATATATATATATATATATATACAGTGAGGAACAGAAGTATTTGAACACCCTGCGATTTTGCAAGTTCTCCCACTTAGAAATCATGGAGGGGTCTGAAATGCACATTGTAGGTGCATTCCCACTCTGAGAGACAGAACTGAAAAAAAAATACAGGAAATCACATTGTATGATTTTTAAAGAATTTATTTGTCTTGCACTGCTGAACGTAAGTATTTGAACACCTGAGAAAATCAGTGTTAATATTTGGTACAGAAGCCTTTGTTTGCAATTACAGAGATCAAACATTTCCTGTAGTTCTTGACCAGGTTTGCACACACTGCAACAGGGATTTTGGCCCACTCCTCCACAGGTCTCCTCTAGATCTGTCAGGTTTCGGGGCTGTCGCTGAGCAACATGGAGTTTCAGCTCCCTCCAAAGATGTTCTATTGGATTTAGGTCTGGAGACTGGCTAGGCCACTACAGGACCTTGATATGCTTCTTACGGAGCCACTCCTTGGTTATCCTGGCTGTGTGCTTCGGGTCGTTGTCATGTTGGAAGACCCAGCCATGACCCATCTTCAATGCTCTGACTGAGGGAAGGAGGTTGTTGCTCAAAATCTCACAATAAATGGCCCCATTCATGCTCTCCTTAATACAGTACAGTCGTCCTGTCCCCTTCACAGAAAAGCACCCCCAAAGCATGATGTTACCACCCCCATGCTTCACAGTAGGGATGGTGTTCTTGGGATGCAACTCATCCTTCTTTTTCCTCCAAACACGACGAGTGAAGTTTAGACCAAAAAGTTCTACTTTGGTCTCATCTGACCACATGACTTTCTCCCATGCCTCCTCTGGATCATCCAGATGGTCATTGGCAAACTTCAGACGGGCCTGGACATGTGATGACTTGAGCAGGGGAACCTTCCGTGCAATGCATGATTTGAAACCATGACGGCATAGTGTTCTACCGACAGTGACCTTTAAAACTGTGGTCCCAGCTCTCTTCATGTCATTGACCAGCTCCTCCCTTGTAGTTCTGGGCTGGTTCCCACCTTTCTTATCATCAGTGATACCCCATGAGGTGAGATCTTGCATGGAGCCCCAGTCCGAGGGAGACTGACAGTCATCTTTAGCCTCTTCCATTTTCTAACAATTGCTCCAACAGTTGATCTATTTTCACCAAGCTGCTTGGCAATTGCCCCGTAGCCCTTTCCAGCCTTGTGGAGGTCCACAATTTTGTCTCTGGTGTCTTTTGACAGCTCTGTGGTCTTGCCCATGGTAGTAGTCTGACTGACTGTGGGGTGGACAGGTGTCTTTAAAGAGCTCAGACAGGTGCTACTAAGTTAGAATAATGAGTGGAGTAGAAGTGGACTTTTTAAAGGCACAGTAACAGGTCTTTGAGAGCCAGAATTCTTGCTGTTTCTTAGGTGTTCAAATACTTATGTTCAGCAGTGCAAGACAAATAAATTCTTTAAAAATCATACAATGTGATTTCGTGAATTATTTTTTTTTTTAAATTCTGTCTCTCAGAGTGGGAATGCACCTACAATGTGAATTTCAGACCCCTCCATGATTTCTAAGTGGGAGAACTTGCAAAATCACAGGGTGTTCAAATACTTCTGTTCCTCACTGTATATATATATATATATATATATATATATATATATATATATATATATATATATATATATATATATATATATACATACAGTGTCTCACAGAAGTGAGTACACCCCTCACATTTTTGTAAATATTTGATTCTATCTTTTCATGTGACAACACTGAAGAAATGACACTTTGCTACAATGTAAAGTAGTGAGTGTACAGCTTGTATAACAGTGTAAATTTGCTGTCCCCTCAAAATAACTCAACACACAGCCATTAATGTCTAAACCTAAGTGAAAACGTCTGAAAATCAGATCGTTCTACTAGAGTGCACACACGGTTGTATCTTTTTTAGCTTGTTATGTTATCTTGATCATCGTAGAGACAACTTTTCCGCTCCAGACAAATTTTTGTGAATACACAGCATTGAAATGTCACATCTTTAGATACGAAGCCATGAAACGCCTCATGCATGCTGATACCTGAGCTGAAGCTCATCCTAGCCTAATGAAGTAATCTGTATTCTGTACATCAATAAAATTTATAGGCCTGGGTTTCAAGCAATCAAGTAGGCTCACAGAAAGTTATATGGAGGGAGAAGCCTTCAGATTGACTGGTAATTAATTTCATTGTCCCACTGGACATTGATGGATTAGGTTAGCACTTACTTTTCTCCTGTCACACAAATCACACCTAGCTTTATTGACTTTGACATTGCTGCAAAACCATTGGTCCCAGGAACATAACAGGGGGAACTCGCATTTCCATAAGGGAAATGTAAAATTGAATTCAAAACAGATATAATGAAAGCACTCTTTAATGCCATTATATAACTAAAAATCATACATTTATAGTTAAATACTGACAGTATAAGTACTTTTATGTACTGAGAACTATATCTTTATATAGATTTTTATAATCTTCAACTTTAGATTGAGAGAGGGAAGGGAAGACAGAGTCTATCAGGCCTTGTTGTATTGCATAGTGCTGTTAAACTACACTTGGGTGTTTCTTACAATTGAGGTGTGCCTGAAGATGACCGCTTCTTCATTGTCTAATCAGAAAGTATGGATAATGAAGTGATAAAGGAATCAAGACTTAAAGTAGAACTTTAGGCAAAAAATGTTTTTCGTTTTGGATAGAACAAGCGAAGGTTATAACCTGTCAGGTTTTTTCATGCCATCTGTGTTCCGCTGGGGTGATTTACTTTCGCTTCCAGTCCCTTACCAAAAACAAGAAGTGAGAGGAAATCTCTGCAAATTCCATTGGAAGATTTCTCTTCTATTACTTTTCTGGTGACAACCCAAAAATGGGATTTTATTTTAGTTTTACTTTCAATAATAATGGTAAACAGGACAAACATAGAGGGTGATTCTCCTTACCAGTGGCACAGACAGCAATAAAAACTGACAGGTGTTTTAATCTATCTCCACTCTATAGAAAACTAAAGAAAAGTTTTGCCTTTAGTTATACTTTAACCACCTCCCGCCCACCATATAGTACAATGACAGGTGCAAGGCGGTTCTCTCATTCTAGGAGGACGTCATATGACGTCCTCCCATTCTCACCGCGCATGCACGGCTCTGGGAGCGCGCAGTGTGGCAATCGATGGTGCGCTGTGTCCCTCGGACACAGCAGATCACCAATCCACGGAAAGAGCCGAAGATGTCGGCTTGGTCATATGATCAGCTGTGTCTAATCACAGCTGATCACATGTAAACAGGGAAATGTCGGTTATTGGCATTTCTCTCCTCACACAATCTGTCACGCTGACAGTTCGAGAGGAGAGGAGAGCCGGTAATGATGATCAGTGTAGCCCCAGCAGTGCCACCTGTCAGTGTCCATCAGTGCCATGTGTCAGTGCTCATCCATGCCACCTGCCAGTGCCCATCAGTGCCACATTTCAGTGCCTACCAGTGCACATCAATGCCACATATCAGTGCCCATCTGAGCTGCCTTTCAGTGTCACCCATCAGTGCCAGTCAGTGCCACCTATCAATGCCAGTCAGTGCCACCTATCAGTGCTGCCAATCAGTGCCACCTATCAGTGCCCATCAGTGCTGCTTATCAGTGCCGCCTAACAGTGCCAGTCAGCGCCACCTAACAGTGCCAGTCAGTGCTGCATATCAGTTCCAGTCAGTGCCGCCTAACAGTGCCAGTCAGTGCTGCCTAACAGTGCCAGTCAGTGCCACCTAACAGTGCCAGTCAGTGCCGCCTATCAGTGCCAGTCAGTGCCACCTAACAGTGCCAGTCAGTGCCGCCTATCAGTGCCAGTCAGTGCCGCCTATCAGTGCCATATATGAGTGCTGCCTTTCAGTGCCCATCAGTGATGCTTGTCAGTGCCCATCAGTGCCACCTACCAGTGCCTCCTCATCAGTGTCCATCAGTGCCACCTATCAGTGTCCATCAGTGCAGCCTATCAGTGCCCATCACTACAGCCTCATTAGCGCACATCATTGAAGGAGAAAAATCACTTATTTACAAAATTTTATAACAAAAACTAAGAAAAAAAATTTTTTTTTTTCAAAATTTTCACTGGTTTTTGGTTTGTTTAAGAAAAAATAAAAAACCCTGAGGTGATTAAATACCACCAAAATAAAGCTCTATCTGTCACAAAAAAATTATAAAAATTTCATATGGGTGCATGATCGCGCAATTGTCATTCAAAGTGTGACAGCGCTGAAAGCTGGAAATTGGCCTGGGCAGGAAGGGGGTATAAGTGCCCGGTGGGCTAGTGGTTAAAATAGAACTCTGATAAGGTTATGGACAATACAAGATTTACATATTTGTAAAAAGTTTAGTGCACCCCTGAAGAAGCCAAGGAGCGAATAAGCTCTCTGAGACTAATCTGGTATAGGAACTATTCCACTTTAATCACTCTGACACACCCTACTCAATAAATTAGATAACACCAAATGGAATAGAAACAGTTTTTCTATTAATTTCAAACAGCTCAAATGATAATAAAGTAGCACAACCAATGAACAAAGGAATGCAAGGACCCTACAGAAACCTTCTATGCTACAGTTGTTTGTGAAAAATAAGGCAAAGAATGACCGGGAGCGGGTTGCACCAGACACTTAGATCAGCTTAAACTGTAACAGGGTCACAAGAGGTGCAATAATGGCAGCTAGAAGATTTTGTACCAAGCCCTGTTTAGGCTACACCACCATCAAGGCCCTTGGAGTGACACAGGTATGTTCAAGTCTGCCTGCAGAACTGTATACACATTAAACAACCTCCAATGAAAAAAGTAAGGCTTGTTTGGTAAAGTCTGTGGGGAAGAATTGGGAGGTAGATAAAACAAAGGAAAGAAAGAATTTTGTCTTGCCAGCTTAGTTGGGGTCCCTATGGTGGTGCAAAATGGTGACGTTTAATGATTCTCACTCACGTAAAAGAGAATTATAGCTCAAGTTATTTTGGCTATACTTCTCCTGGAGATCACAGGAGTGCAGTTCGTTCTGCACTCCTATGACTCGTTTTCAGCTGACAGTGGGCTAAAGCTGATGTCAATTACCTGAACCAGGCTCTGAAAAGATCCTGACCATATGGTTTGCATCCACCCAGAAGCCTGGACCGGCACCTGGCCCAGCCTCTCAGTGAGCTGCTGAGAGCCTGAGCCAGCTGCTTATTTCCCCTGCACAGCCCAACGCTCCAGTGAGTGCTGGAGTGACAAAGCAGAGAGCCGGTGATTGACAGAGGAGAACTGGGCAAGCAGTGATGTTTTATTGCTTAGTTCTCTTTGTAGAGCTGATGAGGGACAGATGCAGCATTGGTTTAATGCTGCATACACCTAGGTGAGTATAAATGTTTGTTTCTTTCAAAAGCCACACTTTTCTGTCAAATCCAGGAGGACAACTATAGCAACACAGGTGAATAGAGGAGGGTCTAACCTCCTCAAACCAGAAGAACTCAAACCAGTCACAGATCTACAATAAGTTTTGACAAGGAATGGGAATGATCAAAACAGTGATACTGAGTTAGAAAGTGTGGATCTGGGGGATTGCGACAGTAGCCTTGGGAATAGACTGAATGGGCTGGATGTCTCCCAAAGGGTGGTTAGGTAAGGCAGTGATATGCTAGAGTATCATTTTCTGCTGTACAGTGCAAAGAATGGGTTAACAACCCTCTCACCAAACTCCTGCGCTTCAGCTGTAGATTCTGGTGGCAGATGTTTCCTTCAGGAACTGATGCAATGACTCCGGCAAACCCATTTGGTACTTCTGAAAGGAAGCAGACTGTCAGTCCCTTTGGACAGAGAGGCAACACTGGGAGCCATTGGCTCCTGCTGCTGTTAATTACAGCCAGTGAGAAGGGAGTGGGGGGGAGCGAGCTGCCCTCTGTGGGTGTCAATGGACACACAGAGCCAGCTCAGGAGTGAGCATACACTAGTGTCTCCATAGCAGGCTCCTTGCTATGGGGGCACTCGGCAGGGGGGAGGAGGCAGGAGAACTGGAAGGGGACCTGAGAAGAGGAGGATCAGGGCTGCTCTATGCAAAACCAATGCACAGAGCAGGTAAGTATAACGTTTGTTATTTTAAAAAAATCTTTAGAATCACTTGAAAGCGCTAGTAAACTCTAGAAAAAAAAAGTTTTCCCCTGCAAGACAAAAGCATAATGTACTAGTATGCATCACATACTAGCATATTATGTGAAACTTACCTCAAAATGAAGCCCTCCAGCGGTGCACTGTCATCTCTGACAAGGCTTCCATCTTCACTTGGTCCTTCTTCTGGGTTTGCAGGCTTCGGCGGCTTGAATGGCTGAGTCGCACTGTTGTCACTCCAATGCATGCATGTGGGAGTCACTTTTTTGGCACACAGCTCTGAAGGAGGCTTCCTTCAGAGCACATGCACTGGTGCTCTACACAGGTAAATATCTCCTAAACATTGCACATTTAGGAGATACCTACAGGTAAGCCTTATTATACGTACAAGTAAAACAGACTTTAATACTGCTTTAAGAGCACTATAGAAAAGAAAAATTAAATAAAAGTGAATAAAGTTTTTAAAAAGAGAAAATTTTGGTCTTCTGATGCAGGACTCTGAAGGAGGGACAAGTAGCAAAGGGGCAGTTGACAATTAAAAAAAAAATAAATAAATAAATATTGGTCCTCCAAAGCAGAAAGTTGAGGGAAGAGGGACCAACAGAAAGGGAGAACAGAACACACCTGAGCTGTACAAGAAATGCACAAGGTATCATTGAACATTTAGTCCATTTGCATATGGTCAGATGATGACTATATGATTTGCACAGTGTGTACTCCAAGACCAGAAATTCAGGGATGTCAATAGATATGTTTTAGAGGATAATTACAAAAAAACCCTCTGAAAGTATAGATAATAAAGTGCCGCTAGAAGGAATCATGAATTAAAGTAGTCCTAAAACCTGGACATTATTATACCTTAATGCATTTCCTTCATTAAGGTATAATACTGGATGTCCCAGTGTCTGTATTGTTCCTTCACCACCACTATACTCACCTGAATCCAAACTTGATCCAGCGCTGTGCCTGTCTGCAGCAGCTCTCTCCTCTCTCTCTGCTCACAGAGGCAGCAGCCATTGGCTCCTGCTGCTGTCAATCAAATCCTATGAGCAGTGAGCAGGGGGCAGGGCTAAGTCGCACTGTATATGTCAATGGATCGAGCCCACAGTTGTATCTTCATAGCAAGTGGTTTGCTATGGGGGCACAAAAATAAGAGGAGGAGCCATGACAGCCAGGAGAGGACGCAAAAAAGAGGAGGTTCACGGACGCTCTTTGCAAAACCATTGCACAGAGCAAGTATAACATGTTTTTTATGTTATTAGAAAAAAAAAAAAAACCTTTTACAAGCATTTTAACCCCGTGCCCCACTGCCTTCTGGCCCTTTAACAGGTTCTAAATGTTGGGAGGCAGAGGAGGGAATTCCAATCATGTGACCGCTGTGATTGGCAGTCACAGCAGTCACATGATCGGAAAGCTCCCAATCGCAAGTATGCATCGGTAGCTTTCTGGTACCTGCCTTTTACTGTGCTGGGAGCATGCATGGAGCACATATTACTATGTTTTTATGGCTGACTGTAGTTTTGTTTTAACCCCTTCAAGCCAACGTAACACAAATATGCCGCCTCACAGAACTGGGCTTTTTTTTGTGGGGCCTCATATTTGAGTACCTGCCTTTCTGCTGGGAGTGCGCCGCACAGCGCGCTCCCAGCACAAAGGCCGAGGTGTCACTGAAAGCCCCGGGTCCCATTCTAATGATCGGGACCCAGGACTCCCGATTCCAGTTCACATAATCACTGTGATAGCCTCTGATTGGCTATCACAGTGATCAGTCACTGTACAGCCCGCCCCCCTTGTTTTTTTTCTCTCTCTATGATTGGAAGAAAGAGATACATTGTATCTCTCTAACTCCTGGCATAGAGGGGGAAAAAAAGTTTGTAAAAAAAAAAGATAAATATTAAAAAATAAAATAAAAAAATTAAGTAAAAATACCTAGATCAAGGTTTGATCTAGTTCATTGCCAGGGTAAGTGTTTGGGTCAAGGTCAGGGTCAAAGGTCAGGATTTAAAAAAACTATTTGTCAGCAATGTCAGTTAGTGTCAGTGTATTTTAGGTAAAAACAAAACAAAATGTGCACTATTGTTTCTGGGCTGTACTACGGGTACAAATAACACACATATATGGTATCACTGCAATCGTCGACAGCTGGAAAATTTATTTTGGGTTGCTCTTTGATGGTAGGTTATATTAGTAACAAAAAGCACACAGCTAAATTAAAAAAAAAAACATTTTGTTTTACTATTTTGGGCCAGTTTTCCTTTGATAATAAAAAACAATCAGGAGATATCCATTACCATTTACCACCAAATGAAAGCCCAATTTGTCCTGGAAAAAACAAATTATAATCCACCTGGATGTACAAAGTAGTTGTGATGATATGTATGGTTTTACTATCACATGTCAACGTTGCAGAATTGTGCTTAGGCATTAAGATTTGTTTTACTCTTAGGCATGAAGGGGTTAAGCATATTTTTGAATCAGATGGGTGGGTAGCATTACCCTAGTTTTTGGGTGGTTGATGAACTGTGCACGTGAAAGATACTTGCCTTTGCAACAGGAAGTAGGACATACAGTATATATATGTAAGAAATAATACAGAGACCTTGAGATAATCGATTTTGCCTGGAGTTCCTCTATCACCCTTTTTTCACAGTATCCATGGAACTTTTCAACAGTAAATATAACATGCTAATTAGGCTGTATAGAACTGGGCAGATTGGAAATCTGTAAGAGTAAGTTGTAATGTCATGATATTCTTCTGGGACACATTCTAAAGTTAAATTAGGAGACCAAGATGACCTATGGGACTGGGTTACAAAACTAGCGCCACCTGGAGCAAATTGCCAGCAGTCACATGCAGAGTTGACTGAGTAATACCCACAGGAATTCCTCAATTGAGTAGAGCTTGCCACAAGCCATTCCGCTAGTGCAGATGTTCATGCTGGCATAACAGAAGAAGAATGACTTTCAACTAAACAGGAAAATCAGATGCACATCAAGTTATGAAAGAAAGCTGCAATTAGAGTGCAACTGAGGAGAGTTAGGCTCCTTGGAGAACATATTTCATATACACTGAGTCCTGTGATGAAACTGAAAATGTACAGACGATTCTTTGCTTGATCTTTTGAAAATAACACAGCCTGAGCTGACCTGTTTCTTTCCTGTCTGTGAATCTCTTACAAATGTACAGATATTTCTTTATAGTAAGCATGAAAAATGCCTTTACTGTCTTTGCCTTCTTAATACACTGGGTCTGTTGTCTGTTGGCCTGATCCAATGGTTTTCTATACCAGTGACGCAGAACAGGTATGAAATCCTGTATACATCCTGACTTTACCTAGCAGCACATATGTTTCAGGTCTGTGTATCAGTGCATTGAAACTAGAGACAGCCAGGCAACTAGCATTGGTAGCCTCTGTATTTATTCCAGTGCAGGTTTCATAAACTAATGGATCTCTGCATTTATGAATAGATCATTAAATGTATTTTTAAAATGCACTGTAGGAAGCATAAGTACCTAAGGTTCTCTTTCTATTTGACTTATGCTATACCCCTTTACAACAGCACTCAAACTGGGAGAGGAAGAGGTAGCATTGGGGGCCAATCAGGTGAGATGCATGCAAATGTGTTGACAAAGAGATAGGAGGAGAGAGCACAATTGCCAGAGCAATGACTTCAGTCTGCTGCTGCTCCTTCACTGTCAAATTAAAAGGCTGGGGGGGGAGACATGTTGGGCAGGTGGGTGATACTCCCTCCATGTTCCCCTCCTCGTTGGGTGCCAAGTGTTGGTCACGTGAGAGGCCTACCCCAGGAGGGTTCTTCTGGGCTACACTAGGCATCTAGAACAGGGCCACTATCTTACACATGGTGTACCTTTTCTTGGGCCATGCTCATCAATGCCCCAGGACAAGGCAGGGGTCGCTTTGGGGAAATTGCAAGTTAAGAGATGGCCGAAAATGGTGTACACTTAAACAATATACTGTCCTTCAGTTAACTGTCCCCGTGTCAATGTACACCTTCACTGTAACTTGTTGCATTTAGGACTGACGCACTGAGCTGATGGCTGCTCCACCTGTCCAGCGTATCTTTACTACCTCACTCCCAGTAATGGAATGGAGCCCTGCGGAGCATCTAGCACTCTCTCCATACGTGCTCTGGTAACTCTTCCTTTTCCATACCTATGACCAGGCCAGGAACCTTTGAGCGCGGATCTGCTCCCGTTGCTATGGGAGATGGACCATCAGGGGAGATAATGCCGAAAACACTCACGACAGGCTGCTTACTAGACATTCGTTAATCTTGGTAACCACCTCCTTACAGTCTATACTGTGTTAACTCTTATGGAGCTGTCTCCATACCCCAATGTGCTTTACTGACCCAAGTTGTAGACTAAGTGAAGAATGTGCCAGTTACTTACAAACAGTCCTTAAGCGACTTCAGACCAGGCAAGGACAAAGTTTCAATAGCTTTATTGAAAAACTTGGTCATTCCAGATAACAACTGTAACAGCCTTTTCCTAATGTCCCTAATCCCTAACTCAGACTTGTGGCTGCCCCAGCGTACCTGCAAAGGCAAGAGCCATTATTGACAGAGTCCATGATGGCAGTATCCAGGGCTGGTATCTTCAGGGCAGACTATAGATTCCAGCAGTCTCCCTACATTTGAGATGATTCCTGAAGTCATGTGACAAATCAGCAGGAACTCCGGACTCGGCATGACAGACAGGAACTAGTCAAAAGCTAAGAGTAAGACTAGACTCAGACCAAAGCATCAGCTGGACATTACATCTTGCTGCCTGCCTGTGTCTTCTTTCCTTTACCACAGACTGTGTGTTTCTGAGCAGAGCTCTCACCCCTTTTATTAATGGCACAGGGAGAGAGGCAGAGCTCAGCAGAAAGTGTGGGAAACTGGGTTTGCTCCTTCCCTAACAGCTGGAGCAGCAGCTGTCTCACTAACCAGCATTTAAACCTGCTTACTACACCTGGAAGTGGCACTATCGAGTTGGCTGTACTGTGTAAATCTCAAGATTGAATGGACAGAAATACAATTCCTTTGGCAGGTGAACCAGTTACATTTAATGTATTACATCTGTGTATGTAGCTGTTTGCCTGGAGTTCAGCATACATTATTAGTATATTGTAAACTTAAAGTGGTAATTAAACCCAAAATGAACTGTATTTGCAGCTTACGAATCCTTAGATGTGGTGGCTGCATCTGTTTTCTTTTCTTTGGCTTTAGCCTTCACTTCTTTGGCTTTTTTCCTGTTTCACCTGGAGATGTGGCCAGTAACACATCTCTTGTATTAGTGAGACACCACTCTGGAGGAATGAGCATTGAGGAGGCACAGTAAACTGCAGCATTGTCCATCTGAGGGGAAGGGAGTATTAAATGTACAGTATTAGCATATTTAACCATTTCCATATCGGGCACTTTTACTCCCTTCCTGCCCAGGCCATTTTTCAGGTTTCAGCGCTCTCACACTTTGAATGACAATTGCGCGGTCATACAACATTGCCACCCAAACTAAAATTTTTATCATTTTGTTCACACAACGAGAGGTTTCTTTTGGGGGTATTTAATCACCGCTGGAGTTTTTATTTTTTGCTAAATTAACAAAAAAAGACAGAACATTTTGAAAAAAAAAACACTTTTTTTTTTTGTTTCTGTTATATAAGTTTGCAAATAAATAATTGTTCTTCATAAATTTAGGCCGAGATGTATTCTGCTACATGTCTTTGGTGAAAATAACCCAAATTAGGATGTATTTTTTAGTTTGTAGGAAAGTTATAGAGTTCACAAACTATGGTATAGATCTGAATATTGATCAGTCCTGAATTACTGACAGCCAATCTAATTTCTTGAGGTCCAAGAATGTCAGAATAGTACAGATATCCCCCAAATGACCGCTTTTTGCAAAGTAGACAGTCCGACGTACTTCATAAGAGGCATGGCGAGTTTTTTGAAGTTGTATTTTTTTTTGTCATAATTTTTCAGAAAATGAAAAAATTAAAAAAAAATATTTTCACTATTCTTTTTTTACATACTGTCACTAGTGCAGTACAGCATCATCATATAACTGGCATGGCAGTGATCAGGGACACTGACTGGTGACAGTATGAAAAAAAAATATATATATTTTTTAAATTTTTTTTAATTTTTATAGTATTTTTAATTTTTTTATTACATTTTGTTTCTTTTTTTAAGATTTTTTTTTCATATTTCACTATGTCCAAAGTAGTACAATGTTACCAAAGTAACATTGTACTACTTTGGGGAAGTGATCAGTATTTTTTTTTTTTTTTACACAATTTGCTTATAGCAAAGAATTACTTTGCTATATGCAAGCATTTACCTGAATGACATCGATTCATTCAGGGTTTTTTTTTTTTTTTTTTTTGTGCTTAGCTGTAATTTGGCCACAGATAATCACATGACATGTGCATGTGATCGCTGTGACCATTCACAGCTAGACACTAGTATACAATGGATGGCATGACTGAAGCCATCCATTGTATACAACTGTCATGTGACCTGCTGTGATTGGTCACAGCAGGTCACATGGTAAGGGGCAACAGGGGCCTGTACTCAGATCTGTCATCGGCCGTGTCCGAGGTACACGGCCGGTGATAGATCGCCCCGCTGCGCGGCTCTGCAAACGTGAAAGCTGCTCATGCCCGGGAGGACGCCATATGGCGTCCACCCGGAATTCTACAGCATTTTTTCTAAACAGCTATTGGCAGGGCGGCTATTGGTTAAGAACAGTGACTAATTGAAACCAAACTCCAGCTAAAACTTTATAATCAGTTACAGTAAACAGTTTTTTTTTCCTTTTGGGATAAAAGTTTTACACGAATAAATAAAAGCTGATCATTTTAACCACCCTTACCAGTGTTAACTGATCTGCCTAATCAAGGATGCCCTTTTTCTCCACTGCTTTTTGTTATCTCCCTGGAACCACTTCTAGCGAATGTTGAAAATGTATATATGTAAAAGTAATCTCGTTAGGGAATGTAGAACATAAGGTCATAGCTTATGTGGATGATATGTTATTTTATGTTATGAACCCTAGAGTAACGTTACCCAACTTAATTATAATTTTACAATATTATGGTAAATTATTAAACTTGGAAATTAATCCCTCAAAATCAGAGATATTAAATATTACAGTTCAAAAGTTAGAAAAACAGAGCTTGCAGGAAGCTTTCCCCTTTGCATGGAAAGAGAGAGAATAAAGTTATTTAGTAGTAAAGCTTACCCCTTCCTTGAAAAATCTCTATCAAATAAATTTTATTTCATTAATAAATGAAGTAAAGGAAGCATTGAGGAAAATATCTGTAGGGTCACTTTCATGGATGGGCCACTTAAATATTATAAAAATGGTTAAAATTCCAAAGATCCTGTATAGGTTTCACATGGTTCCAATACATT